GAGTCCAGAACTGCTGGGTTGATTTTGAAAGTCCTTGCCAAGCTGCACGAGGAGCTCAAGGCGCTCCACCTCCTCTGGCCTAAGCCCTGCAACAGCCTGAATGCATGTGTCAGGATCCTCCAGTAAGAGGTTGCGCAGCTGGCTCTGCAGTCTGAAGGCCTCGCTATCCCACGCCATGCCTACAAGCCTCCACAACTAAATTTCAGGTCCTTGACCCAAAATGGCACGTGTGACTAATGATTTAAGTGCTCTTGATGCAAAGAAGCAATAATACACTAGACAGCCCTGGTCGACTTCCGAAGGCTGCGGCATGAGCAAGCTACACATGTTGCTGCAGTTGCATAGGGCCATGTCCCACTTCAACGAAGCTGCCTTTGCCCAGCTGTTGCACGTGACCTTCATGGATGGATCCCACAAAAAGCTGGATTCTGCAAGGTCAAGAAAGGCAGTGCAAAGTGTTGCTGCGTGGGAGCTCGGCAAAATTTGCGCCCACTGACTGACATATCGAATCAGGGACTTTGAACTTGTGGGTGAGAATCCCTGCCCTCACCTGGTCTGGCTTCCAACCAGCCGCGCGGAGCTTTGAAACCAGTGCGCCAGCGCCAGCCTTCCAGCAGTCTTGGCGTCTGAGTCTGAAAGCTAAACGGAATTGATTACATGTGTGTCCCGTTTACAGCAACATGTCAGCTCACATCCAAGAAGTCTGTTGGTTCTCTTTCCGAGCGGCTGCGGCGTCGCTGGCTGCAACAGCACTGCAGGCGGCGATAGCTGAATTGTAGGTCTGAAGGTCTGGCGAAATCGGAGCCTGTGGACGGGGTGCAGGGCTGTGGAGGTGTTCCTGAAGTTCCCAACACAAACGCATGGATTCAGTCGTGCTGCTTGACAGAAGTGCAGCGCTGAGGCCCATCTTCGCGCACGCTGGCAGGCAGCCACGATGACATTCCAGCCTGTTTTACGCCAGTGGCATTTGCAACTAGTCGTACTTGCAGCTAGCTGCGCATGGACAGGCATTGGTCAAAAAGAACAACAAAATCCAATTGCTGTCTGGGCGCTGCTGGTGCTTGGACTCGACGGCACGAGTGCCAAAACCTCACTGTCATGCATGCTGGTAGCTACAGCTCACAACCCATTCCCGAACAGGTGTCGACGTTCTTGCATCCAAACATAGTATGTACTAAGTGGTGCAGGCGCAGGTGCCTCTCGCCAGCGTCTCGAACGCGCAAAGGCTGCCAGAGCTGCGTTTTCTAGACGCACATCGCGGTGCTTTGCCTGGCGCCGCGGGCAATCCAGCACGTGCGACAAAATGGCCTTGACCAGTTTGAATTCCAAGCTGCAGGAGTCTCCGCGACCAAGAACACGGCCTGCTGCCAGCGCGAGCGCCGAGCAAGCGCGGCGACCTGACTCGTTCGCTCGGCTGCAGGCCTCCGAAGCGTGTCTCTTGTCAAGGCGCGGGTGCTAAATGCTGCCCATGGCCAATGTATCAACATCGTGCCTGGACCCTGAGTGCTTGCAGGCAACGCTGCTCATGCGCAGCCATGGCGCACGCTCAAGATGCACAGCTGGGTAAATGATGGATGCTTGGAACCAAACTTGAGAACTTTGTGCATGCTTTTGTCGCTCTCTGCAGGCTACGGAAGGGAACGGCATCCATGGCCAAAATTGCGTGCAGGCTGGTTGTCTAGAGCTGGCGCAACCTCAAAAACGAGAATCTCAAACCCAAATGGGCATTAGGAGTCTGCAGTCTGAGCCTCATTAGGCTTGGCATCAGTTCAAGTGGCTGAACCATGTGCCTTCGCCCCCTTCCTCTCACCTGCTTGCTTACCCTTGGAACAAGCTAAAACCTGGGACCCGGCAACAGGCGATGCCGCCCGCGAGCTTCGCCAGACGATGCGCTAGGCGAGCGCGTCTTTCAAGTTGCACCTGGGCAAAGAAGTTGCGGCAACCCATGAAGAGAGATGACAGGGTTGTGAAACAGCACACCCGCTCTGCAACCGTTCCACGATGCATTTCCCCTACGGCGCTTGTTGCGAACATAATCTTGTCCGATGCCAGCAGTTGACCAACCAAAGTACAGCAAAGTACCATATGTATGGATTGCAATGTGAACAGATTTCATTCTTACAGCCCACGCCATCTTTAGACTTTAGGCAGCTTTAACCGGTGAATGTGCAGGCCAACTGCCAGCCCCCGCCCTACGAGTCCTACGTTGTTCTACGTCTTGAGCGTTGGAGGGTTGTTGCAGCATTTCGCCCTTGGAGTTTGTTGAAGAATGTTGAAAAACCTAGCTGAAACGCGTCCCAGCAGAACCCCCAACGCCGTGGCCGACTTCTCGGCACACAGCTCGCAAATGCGAGCTGGCTGACTTCAGAGCAGCGCTCCACCGGGAAGCTCATGGCTTCAACCACGAACGTTGTCCATGCCGATGCCCAGAAACCTGTAATCACACTGCACTTCTTTGATCAACAGTCTGCAAGCCCACACTAGGGTCTCTGGCCTTAGATGTCCAAGGGCTTTCTGGACACCATCTGCGGTCGATGAACTTGGCCAGCTGGGGCAGCTGGGGACTCATGCAGTTGTCTCGGGTCATGCGGTGAGCAGGCCAGGGAGGAATGGCCATGATCACACGCCGTCAGGCCCAAGCAGCTCAACTAGTGAACAGTTTCTGCGATCGCAGTGTACACGGATTTCCAGGTATGCTCATAGACCGTCCCGAGCTGACCTGAGCACTATGCTACGCTCGTCAAGGCATCCTCTTACACAAACCTCGATGAAAGACTGCATGTGCACAGCCCTCTTTCTGGCGAGGCTCTTCGGAAGCAGCCGTCCGGGCTGGTTGTGGGTGGCGCCAACTCTTCCCACATCGCACCTTCCATGAAAGCTCTCGATGCTTCAGAGCACTCTTGTGCTGCAGAACAACGTGTGAGGCCCTGTACTCACTGCCTCACCGCCACTATATCTGCCACAAAGCTCCCTCATCACAGCGACCGTTCCGAATCACAACCCTCGCAAAATCTCAAGCTACTCACTGCCTGCGACTGTTCTCCCGGAAGTTGTTGTCCCAGCAATTGACTCCGCGGCCCGACACAGCGCCTTTTTCCTTGGCAGGACAGATTCCCACGTTGCGAGCAAGCACATCCACCTGCTCGTCAGAGCTTTGAACCCAAGGTGCGTTGACTTCATCAACTTCCGCCCAATGTCCGGGTCTTGCCCGATGCAGCCCATGTGGATAAGGAACGTTTCCAGCATGTTGAGACCTTGGCGTACTTCAGCACAGCAACTGCCAGGCAGGCAGCTCAGGCTTCGTCGCCAAATTTCGCGCGCGAGCGGCTGCATCCCCTGTGAAAGAGCGTCACCAGTGACAAGCTTAGACGAATGCTGGACATGCTTTTTCCAGCTCACCCTGCAAGGACACACGCAAAACTTTCACCAATAAGAATCTGCGTGCCCTGAATCTACGTATAACAATATGCCAAGGCCATGGCCACTCTCCAAGTGTTCGTTGCTTCTCCCGAGCTCCCACAAGAGCTGGAGAGCCCTGCACATGTACCTCAGCGGCTAGCAAAAGATAGTCGAAGAACAATCCCAGACTCTGCGGCATGAACATGTTCTCAGCCCAAGCCGCAGCAAGAATCGGGATGACCAAAGCTTCGCATCTTGGGGGATCTGGGGCAGCGCATCCTGCGGATTTTGCGTGCAGAGACCATTGAATAAGTCTTGCAAGGAAGCCGATGTTGGAGGGAAAGGCTGAAGTGCCAGCCCGACTTTCGCAAACTGCCAGCATCCAGAGCGTCCTCCTCACCAGTGGCAACTGCCGCCTGCGCACGGTATTCCTCCATAGCCTTGGCTATCCCATTGCCGCAGTGTGGTGGCAAGTTGTCTTCCAAACGTGGCCTCTGACTGACTCATGTGATGCCAGCGGCATTGCGAGGATGCAAAGGAGCTGTTGCAGGCAAAAGGCTTCTTGTAGAAACCCGGTTGCATCAGTCAGCACCTCCTTGATCATTTGGTCCGCAACCAGGAGGTCCCCGCGGCTGTGCCGGCGTTGGGTCACGGTACAGTGAATGGCTGGAAGCCGCGAGTAGATGGCGGCCAGTAGGCGACGGCGCTCCAGGATGCCTAGCGTGGGATCTGCGGATCACCTATGCCACCCATGCGGCCTGGGTGTCCGGCCGCACCTGAGGCGCTGAGGATGTCGATTCGCCATCTTCGCAAACGTACCTCCAAGAGGCACATCCACACTCAACGCACCAATGGCTCTAACAAATGCATCAGGTTGCCCAGTCAAAGTGGTCGGAGCCGCTCAGCGCTTCGGCTAAAGACCCCAAGTCCTCACCGGAAAGCAGCCGGAGGATTACATTATGCTGCAGCTGAGAAGCCGTGTCCTGCTCCGAATGCTCAAGCGAAGAGTCGGCCTTGAAGCTCTCGCTTCTTTCTAATGTGAATCATGCCCGAAGATTAGATTCCTGTGTTCGCTCAACGTCAGAACCCGAAGCGATCTAGACAAATGATGGAGAGAGGGAGAGAGAGAGAGAGAGGGATCCAAGTGCTCAAGCAATCTGAGGTCACAGCCTGCAGTACTTTTGCCAATTCTGCAAAGGTTGCAGGGACCTTGCCCTGCGTCTCCTGTCAGGGCTCGAGGATTTCATGTAGCAACAGTCCTCGTGGCACATTTTGAATCCCGGACCTGTGGCCACATTGCTGCAGAGAACGGTCTTGGTAGCCATGCTTTGCCAAGGCCCTCGCTACAGCCTGGTAGGCTGCGGCTCAGGAAGGGGTTGAAGGTAATCCGGCAATCCTTGGGGCACTGGGGCAAAGGAGGCCAGCCTCAGATGCAACGGGATGCTGCGATTAAAAAAACTGTAGCTGCCAACTGAAGGAAAGGAAAGGGCAAAGCCCAGTGCAGCTCAAGATTCCACCTTGCAAGTGGCGGGCCGCCAGAGCAGCGACGCTCCACAGCGACTGGATGTGGGCCTGAAGAGCTTGGGCGAACTTGACCAGATTTACGTTATGATGACCAGTCGGGCAAAATCCAAAAATCCGATAACAACGTCAGCTTGGCTCAATCCCCCATCTTGCTGATATGGCAGCTGGGGAACAGCAGCGGCAGCTTCTTGCACCACCCTGCTGACATCCATCCACATCCTGAGGGAGGAACTTGTACATTGAAATGGCTGCAGATTCTGGCTCAAAGACAGGCAGAGAAAAAGGTACTTGGCTGCAGCAAGAAGCAACAGGATATGCAAATCTCTCGCGAAGCAGGCAAAGATCCAGTTGCGCAAGCGCATGTCCGAAACCTGCCAGCATGATTTCAGGGCCAATCCCTTATCTAGTCCGTATGCAATCCTGACTGTTTCGCCGAAGGACCTTATGATCAACCCGCATTTAGCCCCTAAGCCTTACATAAACCATAAATTAATAAATCCCCAACACCTATATAAGCCCTATCCCTACATAGCCCTACTCTCTATGCAGCCCTTATATCCCTATAAACCCTCTATACTCTACGTATCCCCTTCATCCCCTCAGGATCCCGCACCACAGTCATAAAGCCCTCTATATATATATATATACATATATTACTCCCCCCCCCAGTAACAGTCTATGTTAAGGGTCCTTTTAAGAGCTATATACAACATATTATATTTATTATCCCACTGTTACTGAGAGGGGGCAGTACCCCATATATATATATATATGTATGTATGTATGTATCTCCTGTAACCCCCTTAAAAGGGACCATAAGATTGGTAATCCCCTGAACCTAAACCCTAAACCCTACCCCTAAACCCTAAACCCTAACCCTAACCTAAACCCTAAACCCTAAACCCCAAGGGTTGGTAATCCCCTTAACCCTAACCCTAAACCCTAGTCATGCAAGGGTTTAGGGTTTAGTAAAAGCAGTCCCCTTGGCCAGCCTCTGCCGCCAACATCAGACCCTGGTTCAGCGAATGCTGAAGTGTCATTGTGGAGCTCAAGGTCTGAAGCAGTGTGCTGGACGCTTCAACTGTGTCTGTCACTAGGCCCAACAAGCCAGTCTGCAGTGCTGCAAAAATTGACAAGGCTCTGAGCCAGACAGGGGTCTTTTGCAACGTCAATAGCTGCAGCAAGGGCTGCAACAGGTCCTTGCAAATGGTGTCCGCGTGAACGAACATGCGCCGTAGCTCCTCTGCAACTGTCGTCCCATTCCGCAGAGGCTTGCTGGATGTAGGCGCTGTCTCCAGTCGCAGCAGCGAAGCTGACTGGCCGCTGAATGCAGAACGAAGGGCCCACCGAGCGAACCTGGCGACCTCGGTGTTGGGTCTCGATGTGGCACGAGCCAGGATCATCCACTTTGCTTTGTCACGTAGCTGTGGTTCGTTGAGCAACTTCGAAAACGGTTGACCAGACAGCTCGCTGAAATTGTCACGCTGGAAGGTGCCGAACTTGGGCTCGGCTTTTTCTGGAACCTGCGGCCATTGCCCGGCAGTTGGAATCCTGGCTGCAACCTTGAAGACACGTGCAGCTTGGCGTTTCTGCTCATCCGTCCCGTGAACAAAGACCAACGCCGCGCAGCTCGCCACCTTGGACAAGTTACCCGACATGCAAGGCACATGGTGCCATCCGTGAACTGGATGCTAAAAGCTGCAATGCAGCCGGGCCACTGCTTGAAGCAATTGATCTTGGCTCGCAGAGAACTGCTCCGTGTTGCGCTGTTTTTGCAGTTCTTTATGCATGTGGACCATGCCGGACTCCACTGCTTCCACATAGGGCTGCACACCTCACAAAACGAAAGGCAGCTAGAGGCTCCAGCAAGAAAATTGCATGATTGCTTGGCTGGTGAACGCTGGGAGTCTGGCGGGAGTCCTCCAGTGAGCCGCGCGAAAGCAGAAGACCGGCTTCTAAACGGTAGCACGTCAGGACAGGAGGCAGAGCTTGGTCACCGCGAAGCGGCTTCAGCATCTCCACGGGTACGAACGGCCTGCACAAGCAACTTTGCAAGCATCCAAGAGCGCGGCCTCCGGGCCCAACCTGGTCAAAGCCTGCTGGCTCCCCCTCTTGCGAAGAAGATGCTGCCACGCATTCATGAAGCTCAAGCACTCCTGAAACGCACACAAACCTGACTAGACCTTCATATCTTTACACGGGAAACCTCGCTCTCTCATCCCTTTTGCTTCCAGATTTTGCCAGGCGCAGGAAATGGCAGCAGTAGAAGCATGTCAAAGATCCTCGTGGTCTAGGCCTAGCCTTAACCTCAAACCGCTTTTGAAAAAAACATGACGCATTGGGCCTTACGTGCATAAGCTCTCTTTGAATATGACCCGGATAATCGACAGCTTAAGTCAGAGATGTCCTCGCGATTCGAGCGGATATCTTCAGGTAGCAAGGGCACCTCAACTGCTTCCTCTGCAACAGACTGCATGAAAGCAAACGAAGCTGCCTCGTCAATCTCATCTTCAAGGCTCAAAAGCGCCCGGATGTCAAACTGCATGACCAGCGGAGCAGCGCCTATGACACTGCAGCTACAAGAAGGCGGATCACAAACACTACCAAACTACCAGGATTACAGCCCGTGCCTGGCTGTAGCAGGACTCGCACTTCCTTCAGCACCTTCAATTGGAAGCACTGCAAAGTGTCACTCATGAAGCCTTGACTGCCTGAGTAGCATGTGCATGAAACGTGAGCTTATGTTGCACTGGTAGCTGCAGTAATGAGTGAGATGCTTGTCCTGCATGTCTTTCACGCTGATCTTCCACATATGACTAAGGAAGAACATGTCAAACAACATTCTCAACTTATGAATTTCTCAGCAGAAGTGACTAGCAATGTAAGACGTGATAAGAATTTCACCACCCAGCTGCATCGGGGCCCTGCTCAACAAGCGTGGCGCCCAGGAGCCTCAATTGACACGGCAAAGCTTCTTAGGTCCGCATTCTAGCCCGAAGTGGCCGCGGTGATTGCCAAGGTTTAGGCTGAAGACCTATGTAGGGTGAACGGTGGACTTCTTTGCTAATGCTGCTAAGGTTTTGCTCGACTTCAATCTTGCAGCCTCAAGGCATGGCGACCACGGGAGCGCGCAGCTGCTCCTGTTCTTACTTTAAGCAAAGAAATGGGCTTCCCTTGTGCATAGCTCTCCACCCTCAGCTGTCCTCTGGCTTGAAGAAGCTAGGGATCTGAGATGCGGCTTTGATCCTCTGAGCAGATCTGAGCAGCTGGAAAAAAGGAAAAGACTCACCAAGATATAGAAAGTAGGGCGCTTCTCAGCCAAGGCTCCCGTAGCGCTTAGCGGCGAAGCAGCCAAAACCTCCAGCGACAGCTATGCCAGAGCCTGACAAACGCAGTTCGGTGGCCCGCACAAGCACGGAGAGGGCTCAAAAGCAATCACTTGCTTAATCTTGCTGTCTTGCGTATGCCTGAAGCAGAGCTAGATTTTAGAGAGGGCTTTGGAAGGTTAAATATTCATGTTTCGCGCACCTTGTAGGACTCTGTATGCGCGACCCACATCCTCGACGAGCGGCTGGAGGTCCAGCAACGTGCCCTGCCAGGGCGACAGAAGCGAGTTAGCAGGCTTGGCCAGGCTGTCCTGGCCTCGTTCTTGCCGAAGACGCGGGGGATTGCCACCCGAACCAGCCAGCGTGCAAAAACAGTCAGGTAGTCTGTCGCGTGTGAGTTATTCAAGGGGTTGACCGCCTGCAGCACGGAGATCAGATGGATCCAGGACAAATTTGCTCGACCATGGCTCAGCTGCAGCTCGGCCAGGAGGATGCAATGGTGGACTAATTGGCTGTCCTGATCTTCCAGTGCGACCTTGGCTGTGGCCACCCTCCACAGTTGTATCAGCTGCTCTGCAGTGAAGCTGATGTCGGTGCTGCCCATATCCATTTGGGTTAGAGTCTGCCACAGCGTCCCTGCCTTCTCAACCTCGGCGGCTGCCACAGCCTTGTCACGTAAGAGCAATGATACCGCAGGAGGCCTGTCGGCCGTATTTTGGGAAGTCTCAACCTCGGTGTCGCTATCCTCCCGGGCTGTTTCTGCAGTCAAGCGCCGCCTCTTAGGCACGCTGCCCCTGGCCAGGTTGCTGAGGTAGGCCTGGAATTGATTGCAGCCGCGCTTGGCAGGGACTTCTCTGGGCGGTTGGTCACGCCTGAAACGCTTTCCTGGCTCCCATTCTGCGGCACAAGGAGCACGATTCATCCGCTCCTCCTCGATCTGCTCACGCATCTGTATCAATGCTCTGGATTTTCTCTTATCCAGTTGGGAGATCCAGTCCTGCCACCTGCTTTCTGCTTCCTTATCGATCAGTGTATCAGCGTCCTCTAACTCCTCCCTCCGCTGGAGGAGAGCTTTCTTGACCTTGTCGCGCACGCTGTTGAACACCTTGAGTTCATCATCGGACCTGAAGTGGCACGCAAGTTGCATATGTGATGCACGCAGCGAAGGGCAGGGTGGGAAAAGAATCCTATGGAGTAGATAGCAAGGTGACTCCTACATCTGCTTTTGCTCTCAACCTTCAACCAAGCGCACCCAAGGCGCAAGCCCCCACTGCTCTGCAAGCTGTTGGCACCCCTATGCGAAGTCCAGCAGCACCTGTCGGAGAGGCGGATAAAGCGCCACCGTGAGGAGCGTGAGGTCCTGGGTTTGCAGCAGTGTTCAGCTCTGAAGATTTCCCTCAGAACGTTGGAAGTCTGATGAAAGAGCTCTGCAAAAAGAGGGTGTGGCTGCAATTCCACTATTTCAGCCTAGAATTAGGAAACTTCGCGTAAATTCAAATTCCTCCAACCCCTGCTCAATACTTCAGCATAGAAATCAAATCCCCAGGATTTGTGTTCCACGCCCAAAAAAATTCTCGCCAAACGAAACTGTCTCCAAATCACCTTTGGGCTGGCACCAATAGAACTCCTACGCTTTTGCAAGAACATGAATCCTGAAGGTCAGCCAAAACCCTTCCCTTGTGCACCATGGAACGTCTTTTTTTCATGGCGGTCCCAGTGCAGGTAGCCTTCGAGCTTGAATCCCGAAAGTCCGACCTCTTCAAAGATCAAATGCGGCAATTGCGTAAGCCATCATAAGCCTTGCTCTAGGACAGCTGCCAAGCAGTTTCCTGAGCCTCGAGCGGATACTCGGCACTCGATGAGGACATCACATCCAGGTTTCACGTCCTGATTGTCAAACACATCTGCCAAAGACTGCGTGTCTAGCTTGTCTGTGTCTTGGAGTGCCAGTGCTACTGCTCTACCTCCATGGACAAACTGTGGAAGTCTCAACCTTAAGCCCTTAAGTAGGCGCTCAACGAAAAGAGCATTGACTTTGAAACAGTTCAACCTGGCCTTCGCGGGCAAGTCGAAGCCCAGGATGCGTATCACCTCCCAGAAGCGCGACCAAGCCAGGCCAGCTACATGCCATGAACGGGGGCGGGAAAAAACGCAGGTTTGCCCCATACAACTGTGCTCACCTCCGTTTTCGGCAGCTGGTTCAACTCATCCGCTATATTCCGCGCCATCTCCAGGGTCCATGAGTACGCTTAACTGACATTATGGCAAGCGGCAAGCTCTTGTTGTTTGTGCTCTCTTGCGTCATTAAGGCTGTGATACTTGCCTCATTGTCTGATACTGAGCAGTGAGATCTAGGCATTACAGCAATGTGTCAGATTTTAGCCCTGCCTTCGGCTGTAGATCTGTACCTTTACACAGCAGCCTTCTTTTGGCACGGTATGCTGGGAAAGTGCTTACAGTGACAAAGCAGGACTGCACCTGCTTCTCGATAGTATTAATTTCAATTGACCTCCCAGCATGAAGAAAGTTAACATATTACTAGTTCGTGGCGGTCTAAGCCAGCACAAACGTGCCGCTGTCCCCGACACCGGCTGCACGGCCCCTGCAGCCTAGAGCCCCAACGCTGTGCAAATTGACAGACTATCTCGTCAAAGCAAGCTCAAACTCATGATCCTTCTGCAGCACCATCATCGATCACCCTCCTGGGATACGCACAGCACACTGAACCTGAGATTTCAGCAACTCCTTGAGGATGCCAGACCTGCACAATTCCACAGCACCACCTCCCTACGCCTTCAGCACTTCTTACATGTTCGTTTTCAGCTGTTGCCTCGCTCACTGCTGCTTTGCAGCAGATTCGGCCCCGCCCTTCTTGAAAGGGGGGCATATCAAAAATGGGCTTTGCTCCAGCAAGTGCAAAACACACTTGCATGCCAAGGGGAGATGTCCGCGTTCTTACCACATGTCCAGCAGGTTGCAAAGTCATTGATCAGCCGATCTCTCCAAGACACCACTGGAGCGATGTCACGAGTCACTTCTGACTCATGCGGAAAGCTTGAACGCCCAGCCATGAACGACCCAAAGGTGCTCTCTGAGCAGTTGGAGCCGCTTGGAGTCTGGAAACTTCAACAAAAAGTGTGCTGCGTGACTGCTGGCTGTAGTGTAGGTGTGCTGACTGTGCAGCATTTGCTTCCCGGATCCATGAAGGCCGGGCGTGCATGTAAAGCGAAGACACGCGAAGACTCTGATTGTCAGAGATCCTCTTTACACATATCAAAAATATCAACGCACAACTGCTGCCGCGAAGCTCCCTGTTGCTACATTGCTGGCTGCGCTGCCATAGGCACGGCTGGTCAGGACAGAAGGATCTTCCGGGAGGTTCTCCAAAGCCTGCCCACACCCCGCAAGAGACTGAAAGATTGAAAGCTAGGAGCCTACAAAGTTTGGCCTCTGCCAAGCTCGCCGTGTGAAGTCTTGGTGCCATTACTTCTTCTGCTAGCTCTTCCATGGTCATCCACCTGCGCGCATAAGACTGACTAAGCTAGATAGCCTTCGACGTGACCGGGCTTCAGCCTGTGACAGCACATCATGCGCCTGAACACTCGCTTGCGGTTGTCGACTATCTTGGACACCTCATTGAGGACGTCCTCATGTGAAGTTGGACGATGCTGATATACGCTGATCAATTTGCAATTGCATTTGTAATCTACATCGGCCACAACTTCAGCACTAACTCGGATGTCCTCAGGAACGTATGGAACGCAAAGCATGTACAGGAAGTACTCATGGATGTCATTGTAGAAGAGTCGAGGGCCATCATCCAGCAGCTGCAAGTGAGCCCATTCCTGACGATCTGACTGCTGGGCTCGCTATAGGACTTGCGTGACGGGCCCAAGCCTGATTGTTGTGTCATCGCCTTTCTTGCTATTGCTATTGCCATTTTACCCCAGCTCTCGACTGTAACAATGACAATGTCTGTTGTAAGCTGTTGCCATACGCGCCATTTCCTGCCAATCCAGTCCGTGCCCTGCTATCAGCACTAGCACGTCTGACGTATCCGTACTCAGTCCTAGCAGCCGTCCTAGCATGCTTAACTTGGTTGCTGTTAATGCACTTTAATGATATTAACTTACCATAATAAGGGCATTTAATCAACGATGGAGTTTCCTTATTATAGTAACCTAATTTCAGTTCCTTCAGTTAATTGTGTGGTTGGTTGCCCCAGCCGATCATCTCGATGGGCCTCGCTGGCTCTGAGCATCAGCGGCAAGTTCGCCAGGCCCTGCGCTCAGGTTCCCAGAGACCCCTTGCAGGATCCAAGAAGTGGTCGTTTCCCAAAATAGGGGGACCCCATTATAGACCCCAATATACTTTGGTCGTCCCGTTTATGGGGACCCCAAACGGTACCCTAATTCTGCAGGACCTTACTGAGGGTGTGTAGGGGAATATCTTATGGAGACTACATTCCGTTATTCTCTACTTACCACCAGTAAGAGAAGCAGAGCCTGAAATTTAGGACCCTAAACTTGCGTAGGGCGGCATAGAGGATCCAAGAAGTAGAGCTCCCAGTTGGGTCCCGTGAAAAAGCGCGCCGCTGACAGCTTGCAGCCTGGTACAGCTCCCTGAGCTGAGCTGGAGTGTTGTCGCCCTCCAACTTCAGTGCCTAGGGCATGAGCTGAGTCTTCAGCACCCCAAAAGCACCTATAAGCTTTTCTAGGCAAGATTCGCACCCAAAAAGGCCATACGTCTCTTTGGCGAACTTCCGGCAAGCGCCTGTACAATTTTCTCATCATGGACACTGGTGCAACTGGCAAACAATGCTGTCGAGGCACAGGTGCTGGCGAACTCCTCCGGAAACTTCTTCCGCCCGCCGAAATCGTACCACCGCACACCCTTCTTTTTCCCGCTCTGCGGCTGCCAAAGAAGGACCCGCGCCTTGCCTTTGCAGCTGCCCCGCTTCAGCAATGCAGTCGCTGCAGCAAATTGAAATTGAGCCCTCTGCCGTCTTCCAGCCTTGTCACTGGGAGGACTCCAGCTCCTGCAAACTATGGGAGGTTGTAACGATGCAGCGCTCAGGGTTCGAACCAAGGCAAGCTCCTACCAGAGAAATAGGTGTCCTTGGTAGGTGCTCACTTCGCCTTTCCCCGGCGTACGGTACTTCTTTGGCATCTTTGCCTGACTTAAAGCTCATTGCTTTCCATTGTCAGTCACAGCTGGCTATCTTGTTCTGCGGTCTAAGACCGCTTCTTAAACATGAGCATCCTACCAAAACAGCCTGCGGGTACACAGCAGCGACCCCGCCAAAGGAGAGATTCTCCATGGACTTGGAGATCATCATGCCGCCTCACGGGGAAGTGCCGTCTGTGGGACCCATTCAAAGGCATGCTGCAGGGCACAGTCTTGCCCTGATCCAAACATTGCAAATCATTGCAAGTCACGGACCATCGGATACTGCACCCAAGTACGCAGCGCCACACACTACCCAAGTCGACAAAGCAACCAACCTGCTATCTGCATCAGAGGCGCTGTCATCATTTCGCTCCTGTAGGGCGACTGCCCTGCGGTTATCGACCTGCATGCATTGGTGGCAGTTAGTACACAGAATGTGCTTGGTGGCTCCTCACCTCCGCCATGTTTTGCAAACACTTGAGCCAGCACGCAGGGAAAGGCAGCTGTGGGCCAAAAGGGCTCATCGAGAATCAGCGCATCTTTGAAACAACTGGCAATCGCTCCTGAAGCTACTGCGGCATGCATCTTAGCTCCACACGGCCTCTCAAATGGGACCTGCCAAGATGATGTACGTTTTTAGTAGACCGAATTCTCTCCAACTGCGTTGCGACACCAAAGCTGTTGAGGCCCGCCGCGTCTTGAATCTTGACCGGGAGCGCTCTTGCCTACTTTTCTTTGCTGCTGGCGGGGAAATCTGAGGCTGGCACTGCTGTGAGCTTGCTTCGCCAAGCGGTAAATCCTGACATTCGATCGGCGACAAGTTACACAAGATGGCTTTGCATCTGTGATGCACGTGGCTCAGGAATGCTTTCGGATAAAGCGGTGCTAGCCTTAATGCTGAGCCGTCCTCTGAACCCTAACTTAACCCTGAACCCAAAGGGTCGGCATCTCAACAACACATACGTCACGTACATTAAGCTGACATGTTACATGTACTAAGTGTGTAAAGGATCTACACGTGCAGAGGTGTTGAACTAGAATCGCGCCTTCGGCTAAGCGCCTGGAACTCATGTTCTGCAGTACGGCCTTGAGCCTCGAGCCGAGCAGACAACATGGGAACAATTTATGGCATTACGAAAAATCACAAGAGAAAAACTCCTGGGGTAGAAAGGAAATCGGGCGATCTTGGAGCACACAGGGTGTGGGTGGGGTCACTTGTACCAAGACTCTGTGCAGAACCGTTTATCACCTGCCCCTTGTGGACAGACATGCACCTTCAAATCGTTGCTGTCCAAATCTGCCCTCGCGCTTCCAGGATTCTGGCGCAAGTGCTGCTCGCTCTTGTAGCCGTGGTTCCCGCTTCCTCTGGGAGCACTATTGCAAGGTGCAATTTCACTCTTGCATGTTGGTGCTGGGGTGCTCAAGTACTCAGCTCAAGCAACTTGCTTTACACACGCGGCTAACCTTAAAGGAACCCTCACTTCATCCCAGCATGACGCACGAGCCAGGTCCTGGGTGATGAGCTGCTCCTAGGACGCATGCCCTTGCCTGCAAAAACAAAGGTATTCAACGTTGCCATTTCCTCACACCAGACTGCTACCTACTCGTGCTGTGTGACGACAAGGTTGGAAGTCATTCAGGTGCCATGTTCACTGAAGACGAGAAGCCTCCGAAGTACGTCTTGGCAAACTTGTGAAACTTCACTAGGTCTACCTCCTGCGGTGCGGGTTCGCATGACGGGCAACATGTGCAGCAGCTTTTGATTGGACTAGGCTTCAGCCCGATACATATTCGATCTACCAGAGATTCGCTGCTTGGTACAGTTGATGACTTTAACCCCCAAGCAAAGCCAGTCTCAAATTTGCAAAAGCTATACACGTCCTCGCGCTTCATCTCCGACAGCCAGCGTGAGATCCTGGGCTAAGCACCCTCGAGGTTGAGGCTGCAGTGTGCATGCAGCTCGACAAAACTAAGCGTCTTGTTTATGCTTTTCTCTGCCGCTATGACTGCTGGAGCCACTAGGTGCAATTCGGGCAAAGCCTCACGCACCGGGGCGGCTGTTGAACATTCAGACAAGTTCTTCAAACTCCGTAGCGTGATGAGCGTATGGATGATCTTCGCTTGAAAGGGCCCCCTGCTGGAGTGACAGGCTTTGCCGGCCGAGGCCAAGATTGAAGCGTCTCTGGGCTTCTCTGGTCACTCCAAAAACGGTCCAGGTAGCTCGCCGCTACCATAGACATCACTGGACCCCTGACGATTATTTTGCTGTGCTTCTTCGATGGGCCAGCTACAAGAACTGACAATGCCTATTTCAGAGGTAGAGCGATGCCGGTCTGGAGAAGAGGGCACACCATGCCTTCTTGTTTTTGCCGGGCTCATGTATGATGATGCGCAACGGACAAGGCTTGAAAGAAGGCTGGTGTCGCGTCTCAAGCCTATGCGGCTACAGCTAAGATTATTTGCCCACTCGGCAGATTGTGCCGTCGGAGCAAGGACAAGCTAGTACAAGCGTAGCCCCGTCCAAATGAGTCAACACGTAGAATCAAGAGTCACTTGTACATTGTACACCCTGAAAAAGGGTAGCCTTGCCACGAAATACACCCGTAATTTGGATAAACCCGTTACTAGATTGCAGTGACCTTCCATTTTCATGTGGCATGCACATCCTTTGGACGCATTCCTCCGTCGCCCGCTTGCACGCTTGCATGGTTCAAAAAAGGATCACTGCAGAATCTACAAGCGAGATGATGTGCTCTCCCACATCATTAGCGCAGCTGGAACAAGCTCAAATTACCTTGTAGTGCACCAACAGTGCAAGCACGCCCTGCACGAAACCAGTGATCATCATGATCACCTAGGAGTCCATGCAATCAACGCTTCGATCACCATGCTTGCTCGCCAGCGCACTGCTGAACAACCCGTGCTGCCAAGCCGCGCAGAGGACTCGCAACCAATTGCCTCGTCTCCTTCTGCGAAACTTGCTGTTTGGGTCGTTCACGTCACCACTGCCTTGGATGCCAGCTATCCACAAGCACCTGGACCCTTCGCTGGGTTGTTGCACGACAGGCGTTTGACTACCAACATCATTCCATGTCACAGCATGTTCGTGCAAGAGGCATTTCCTCCTCATCTGGATGGGCTGATTCAGCTGCAAGAAAAACAGGGCTGGGAAAATGAACCTCGGCCACACTCACCAGCATTTTCAGCGCTTCAATTCGCTCTGGATGTTGAACCCGTCTGAAGATGCTGCGAAGTACCAAGTCAAAAATGGGAAGCCCTGGTTTGATTGGAAATTGTTGATTGCCGCCATCATGGGACGCATCCAGCAAGGCGCACTCAGTCTTCTAGGTGCAGCAGCGCAACATGATGGAGACACCAAGGGTGGCACCTGCCAAAGTTCGAAGCACAATCGCTGCAGTTTCCTGGTTTCTCTCGCCGCCCATTTGTAGCAGCTGCCAGTAGCCAGTAGCAACACCGCAGGCTAGCTGCCACCTGGCCTTTGATCATCTTGATTACAGCTATGTCTTTGAAGGCCACACCCATGTACACTGAAAGGCCAAGCAGGGCAATCGTGGTCACCAGGAAGTTGTCCTGCCAACCAAGACAGCCTGTGCTCTGACCGTACATGCAGGATCCAACTCCACCAAGAACCAGGACTGTGCTTGTATGGTCAGCCAGCAAGGTCCTCGGGGCCCCTGTTTATCAGTGCGTTGAATGACGAGCGCATTCTCCTCAGCATTCGCTCAGAAAGTAGGAATTCAACAGCTGAGCACTAAGGCTGAGCACAGTTCTGAAACGCATGCGGGAAGTTGAAGACGGTGGAAACCTCGGCTGAGCACGGATGAATGGGGACTGAGCCAGAAACTTTAGACAAGGCTCCATCATGCAAAACCATGAGATCTGGATCATCGGATCGTCTGGACTGTAACCTTGGGGCGTTGGCTCAGTTGTCCCACAGGGCCAAGGGGTGTAAAAGCATGGTACTCAATGTGGCCTTGGCTTACGGGCTGGTCCTTGAAACAAACTCGCTTTGGTGCTCAGCAGCTTTTCAGCACGTTACCAAGCACCTGGCGCGAGCAACAGACGTGCGTGTGCGGCTTCATCAGTGTGCATTCTGGCTACTCCTGGAGCTGGGGAAAGGGGGGGGAATTCCACGAACATCGAAGGAGATTGGGGGTGAGCCAACTTGCTGCATGTGTACAATTTGTATAATTGTACGAAGAAGTCCTGGAAGTGTCAGGAGCTGCGTTTTCAACTCAAGGGTCAAGAATGGATCCTGATCTATCGATTCCGGCTGCTGCGAAGAAATCCCCAAATTCCGCACTTGTTGAACGCCTAGGCAATTCTGCTGCAAGCTTCAGGAACGGCCCAGAAGCCAAAGCCCATCTCGTGTGTCTGTATGGCTCTACACACATGGTAGTTTCCCAAAATAAGGGGACCCCAATATAGACCCCAAAATACTATAATCCTTACTATAGGGGCCCCCAAAGAAAAACCCCTAATTTCGAGGAACCCCCACATCATGCTTGAAGTGCATCCCTCCAGCGCCTCGTCGCCGAAGCGGGCAAAGCCAGCAAGGCCAAACGCGGTGAAGAGCAAAGTGGCAATGCCAAAGGCCCAAAAACTCACCTATGCAGTAGCTACAAGTGCAAATCCTGCGAAGGAGCAGGTTTCGTATGACAGTACCCCCACTTGTCGTATCTGGTCTAGCTGCTTTGGATTTCTCAGCGTTTGGATTCTGAGACTGCAAAAAGAGTTCTCAATACTTCTTCAAAACAACAAGCTGGCATGAGTTGGCGTCTCTGAATCCGACACACGGACTCGTAAAAAAAAGTCAAAAGCCTTGCTGTGTATTCTATAGACGCTCTCAAAGGTTTTCCGGAACCATAAAATTCAACATCCTTTCATATCCTTTCATCAGGAATCACACCTTCGACGGCATGGTAACGCACAATAGCCGGACATGTCTGCTGAGTCGAGTCTCTTTCATGTAGTTCACGAAAGTTTTTTCCTGCCTCAGCCAGGGCAGCTACTTCATGCAACGTCAGCAAACGGCAACAGCAACAGTGGCTTCAAGAGGTGCAGGTGCGTGTGCCGCATTTTGCGGTCAACAGCAAAAGATGCACAACACAAGATTGCTCAAGTGAATTCCAGGTGCAACTCGGCATAGTAGGTCGGGGCATTGTAGTGAGCTGAAAATGACCCATTGAACAGAGCCAAAGTCTTGAACATGTCCAGCCTCACCTCAAAAGCTGCACGGTTCCCTTCACACACAACATGGAAGTCAAAAAGCCGCTGAAAAAGGCCACCATTCAACTGCTTCGCATCTCATTTGCTCGCTCATTGGTAAGCTCAACTTAAGCATCACCCCACACCTTCCACATCCAAGCTTGCCTTCATTCAAAGCTGGGGCAACTTGGTCAACCTCATATCTAGCGTAGCAAAGGCCCAACCAAGAGCAGGCCATGAAGCATACCACATGTGGTCCTGCAGTGTCTCGACCGCGCGGTACTCTTCCTGAATCAAGGGCGCTTTGGAAGTTTTTTGCATGGTTCAGCACATGCACTTTGACGTTCATATACTTCACGGACTTGAGCCTTTGATGCTTCAGATGCCCCAGAGCACGGGGATACGCTTGATTTGACGGCATGCTACGTCCCTTCGGAACCCCTTAAAACATGAAAAAATTGGTCGTTCCCCATCACCTTTATCCCTCTCCTCCCCGCTCCAACTCACGACCCCCACTTCACCCCCACCAGCCAGGAATGCTACAATGTTGCAAGCAGGGCACCGCGTTAGCCACGACATCATAGAAAATGTAGGCCTCAGCTGCGTCAGATATTTTGATGGGTCGCTTGATTGAAACATGCAGAAAGCAGGTTGCAAGGCACTTCTCGGCAGCATGAAGCTGCACCAGTTTATGCACTGATTCGAGCAACAGACCAAGACTCCGACGCAGGATATAGCTGTGATGAACAAGCCAACGACCGAGGTGTACTTCAGAGGCTCCAGGTTCTGACAGGGCACAAACGAGAAAAGGATGGCATTGTGAGCCCAAAGCTGGCTGAAGTGGCTGCCGGCCTTGTACAGGCACAGAGGGAAAATGCCGAAAATGCTGATCACCTGAGGCCAAAGTAGGAGACTAGATTGTTTCCTGTTTCTCAAGGGGCAAGTTTTCTGTTTGACAACCTTCCGGGGCTGCTTGCACGCAGACAGACGTGGTTAGGCCAAGAACCCACCTGGTTTCAAGCACATGCCCAGTTCTCGCCACTGCAACTGAGCTGCAAGAATCGACGATTCTCGTCTGCGCGCAAAAACCGAATCTGGCATCAGACCAGACGCGCTCTTTATGCAGAAGTCGCCGATCATGGTGACGTATCCTACCTTTGAACATCTTGGAGCTGGGAATTGAAATATGCACTCGGTGCTGCAAAATGAGATCATGTGCTGTCCCTGATCCCATTCGTCGCCCGAAACTGTCATGTTCTAATTTCCCCGTTGACCATTGCCCTGCGCCGGGCCCACGGCACAGCTAAAGAGAGTGTGGAAGAACAAAACGACGTCGACCGTCCTCAGAATGCTTTGCGTTGGTTGAGGCACCTAACATGGCTCTGCTCTCCCGCCTGGAGCAAATTACAGCGAAACGCAACCAGGAAGCTTCTCTGTGTTCTGGCCCATTGCAGACCGCCAAAGCTCACGGAAGGTCTTTGCCTCAAGCCGCAAAGAGGGCAGCCAAAAATTGTGCTGACGAAAGAAGCGTCTGGAGCTGGCTAGATGTTCACGCGGCTACAGAGGGTGTACGGGGCTTCTGCATCATGATGGCCAAACCCAGCAGGCTGCAAACAACATGGTATAATGCAGCTTGCTGAACGAATCGGCGCATCAAAAGACACACCCTCCTTTTCACGTGCATCTGCGCTCTTCAACCAAGCCTTGCGTCAGCATGCCCATTCTCAGTATCGTGACCCCCCTGCATTCCTGCCCGGCCCACTCCTGCTGACACCTGGTGCATACACTAATATGTGCACCCAATCCTCGACAAGGCTTTGAACTTTTGCAGTAATATGGCGTTGACTCTCATCACGTCGTGGAGCGAGCTGCCCACCAGCAGCAGCAGCCACCACAAAAAAGACACTGTCATGGGCCAGGTCTGTCGTGCACTTTGGCAATGATGAGCAGAACCCCTCTCGAATCAGTTGGCTTTGCAAGCCACAGCAGCAATCACGGTTGAACTAAGGCCATAGCTTGGGTCTTGGAGCAACAGTAGCCGATCAGAAGAAATCCTGCGAACAGCAAGATAAGCAATGCGACCTTTCACTTCTAGAGGAGGCGTTTATCTCGAATCCTCCTTCATTGCTGACGGACGTACTTCATTGCTAACGTACAGGTTTGGCATCTCATTTATTTCTCTGCAATTCGCCCGCGGATTGCTATGATACTCTTGCCAGTCCTCCGGTGCAGACAAAAGCGGAAAAGAGCATAATAAGAAGCCCTCCCAGAACGGAGGCATATTGGAAAGCCACACAGACCTTGGCTTACACTAGAGTGCAGCTTTGCCAATGAGCCTCCTCCAATACAGGCAGCAGCTTCCAGGTTGGCTTTGCATGCCCAAGCCAAAGATTGCATGGAGCTGTGAAAACGTCATTTTTGAAAAATGCACGCGCCCACATGTGCACACACATGCACATCTTCTCAAATACTCTTGCACTACACAGTTACGCAGTTCTCACATCTTGTTCATGGATATGGATATGGTGCTGAGGCCCAGGCATTTAGAAGCCCTGCCCCAACCATGTTCTTCAACAGGTTGATGACCTAGAAAGACAAGTAGCTGCAAGAGCGTGCTACAAGACCTGCAGAGAGCTGACATGTCCAACCAGATCGTATCTGAGCCAGGAGCAGTAGCTGCTACTGTGGATCCAACTTCCGTGGTCTCAGCAAGGGTGTCGCTACGAATTACCCTGATTTGGTAATTAGATGAGGCAGGTGCTTAACACACTTGCTGTCAAGCCCTGCAGCATTGACAGATTTGCAAAATGATGCTGGGGGCCTTGTTGCCATTCTTCCCCAAGAGGGGCTTCTTTAACTCCACCGCCATGGCTCGCCGGCCCGCGTCTCTCTATATTTGTCAGCTCCGGGCCCAGGAAGTGCAGAGCGCACAATGCAAGCTGCCGTACAATCATCTCAAGCTTTACACAGCTTTACTAGCTGCCCTAAACATCACATGCCCTGGCTTTCAGGAACCAGTTGCAAAATGTTGCAAAGCCGTCTTGGCAGCACCAGGTCTGTAGGCTCCGCGCGACACCTGGAAGGCAATAACCTCTCGCCACTCTGCAGCAGACTCCTTTTCGAAGGCTGTCATGGACGGAGCAGCACATGAAGCTACAGCTGCGCGCGGAATGGAGTATTGGTCTTTGTGGGGCAATGCCTGGCCTAGCAGCTCTAGGGAAAGGAAGTCCAGCTGGACACGGGGTTTCATTTGCTGGGACAGGTCTTCAATGCAGCTATCAGCAGACGCCAGCAACAACACTCCTTCGTCGCTTGCGCAGGCCAGGACTCGCCCTTGTCGAGCCTAAGACTAGTGACTAGTACAAGTAGCTGCAGTTAATGAGGATGTTCATCCTCCTGTTCGTCACGAAGTACTCCAATAGCCAACGCGTGGTGCAGTATTGTTGCACTGCCCTGCTCATCCTTGGATCTGAAAGTGCGCCTGCACTTGCGTCTCCGAGGGCATGGCAATGCGGTGAGGCCTTGCTGAAACCTGGGCTACAGGGGACAGCAAATCCTGACCTGGTGTCTTGTTCCTGACTGTGCAACTACATACACTCATGCTGGCAAGACTCGGGATGCTTGGCCGTGACAAGCGCGGCTGCACTTGCCGTTTTGGCGGTGAACCGATAGGGGCCTCGAATCGATGTCTGCGAAAAAACCAACTCGGCCATGCAGCTGACCGCGCACTAAAGGCTGACTCAGACCGACTTGAACTTGCAGCAAGACGTTTGGGCTCAGACCGCAATGGCTGGCATCCTAGGTCAGTCATCGCTTCAATTCAGTCTTGCAGCTTCTGAAACTTTGGATTGCCACATGACACTCGCGCTTACAGAAGTCCAGGGGATCACCTTTTTAATCCAGTGCCTCGCGGCAGGTGCATTAACCTCAGAAACGACCCCTCAGGCATGGTGCTGCAACAGTCACTCCTGCAAAGGGTCGTGGTATGCAGTTGGACAGTTGAAAAGCAGCGGCAAAGCTGCTAAAGTGCACAGCCCAAGTCCTGCATTCCATTTGAAAGGAGTGGTGCCTGCAGGCCGCCGGCCTTCTCCAGGGACTTCAACACCTGGTTCAAGTTTGAGCAGACACTCCAAAGGCTTGGAAACCAACTACAGCAAAGGCTTGATGTCTGCTGTTCATCCAAACAAGTATTGCCTTCAATCTTTCCACGTTCAGCTTGATGATGATCTCCTATGAGTGAGGCATGTTGCAAGCTACACATGCCAGCGTTTTGCTTTCCAGGGAAATGGAGAGAGCTGAGTGGCGATGTGCTCTGCCCGCTCGCTCAGCTGCCGTCGGCGCCTTAGTCCGGCTGGGGACTGCCATGCCGTGTGTTGCCTCTGGTAATGAGAAAAAATTCTTCTTCAAATACTGGGACTTCTCGGCCCAGTGGCAGGACGCAGGCCAGCAGTACAAAACCCAGAAGCAAAGCCGTCAGGATGCCAAGGGCAATGTGGGCCTGCAACTGCAAAACCGTCCCCAGCAATAGACACGCGATTCACACACAGCAGCATGATGTTCACATCGGCGCTTCTCCGCGAGAGAGCCCACGCGCTGCAAGCAGGCCTCCTCACGCCCACTGCGCAGCTGACCACGAAGTGCCTATCTGTGGCGCGGATGACTTAGAAGCATTGGCACTATGCTGCGGCAAGTAAGCTGCAGAAAGCCCGACCTGCGTGGCATTTGCCACTGATTCTTGCATCCGAGCATGTTCGGCCTCTTCCTGGCGTCTTGCACCAGCTGCCCTGCGTAGCGCTTCACGCGTCTGTCGCTCGGCCGCACGAGTGAGCGCTCGCTCGCCGGCCATAGCACTTTCTTTTGCTCTCGACGCGTTGCGCAGCGCAGCCTGAAGGGCCCGTGCCTCATGTTCCATAGCATTTGCTTTTTCCCGCTCTGCGCGCTCGGCGCGCTCAGCACGGTCAGCAGTCGAAATCATTGCTTGCAGTCTCTGCTCGTCGTCAGCAGCGCGGCTTTTAACAAGGGTTTCCGCAGCATGCTGTCTTTGCAACTCCGCTGCCTCCTCTTCTAGATTGTCCTGGGCTTTTGTTAAGGCGTTCTGCGTCTCATTAAGTTGTTGCTGCAGAACATCCTTTTCCCGGGTCAAGTTCTGAATCAGCTGGCGATTCCCATCCAACTGCCTCAGCAGCTTCGCTAAAGTAGCCTGGGCAACTGCGGCCTTCTTTTCGGCGGCACTTCCGTGTGCGTTCGCTTGGTTGACCTGAGCCTGGGCTGCTTTCAACTTCTGCTGCACTGTCACGTTTCTCGTCTTTTGCAATTCCACCAGCTTCTTCTCAGCAACGGCCTCCTCGCGCTGCGCTTCCTCTTGGCGTTCCTCCATGTTGTGGAGCCTCTCAAGGGTCCGGTTCAGTTCTTCTTGCAGCTCTTGTGTCTGCTGCTTCGACCTTCTCTCTTTGCTAAGAGCAGAATGCATTGTTGCCTGTGCCTTGGTGGCGTTGTAGTCGGCAACGGCCGCATGGTGCAAGGCTGCCTGCCTCTGCTGCACCAATTTGTCTTCTCTCTTCTGCTCGACGGCCTCCATGTGCTTGGTTTCGTTGAGTCTCTGTTGAGTATGGAGAAGTAGCTGCTCAGCCCTCTGCTCTTTACGGTATGCAGTATCTGCTGCTTCCTGACTCTGCTCTAGTTCGTGCACAGACCGGTTCTTGACCTGGAGGATAAGCTCCTCGACTCTTCGACGCTGGGCCTCAGCTTGAGCCGCTCTCTTCTCGGCCTTGTGTTGCTGTTCAGTTGCATTCTTCTTTTGCAGGGCTGCGGCTGTCCAGACTTTTTTAAGCTGTTGCTGCAGGGTACGGTTTTCGTCTGCTGCCCTGGCCGCCACGATGGTGGCATGGCGTGTCGCCGCTTGAGCCCGAGCATCCTCTGCTTTCAAATCCGCACGAGCCTCGGCCAGAGAGTGCCGCAAGACTGCCTGTTGTCGCGTTTGTTCGGCTGCTTGCTTCTCAGCCTTTTGCGCGTGCGATGTTGCTTTCTCTGACAGGTTGCGTGCTTGTGCCAGCTGTTGGCGTAACTCTTTCTCCCTGGAAGAGGCCGCTACCAGGTTTGCCTGGGTCCTTGTGGCATTTGCAAACGCGTCGTGCAACGCAGCTTCTTCCCTGTGAAGCGCGGCCTGCAAGTTGTCAGCTCGTTGTGTGAGAGCTGCCTGCTGCTCCTCCAATTGATGGATGTCCGCATCCGCTTTCGTCTCGTTCCGCCAAGCACCAGTTGCAGTTGCACGTGCTCGCTCTAAAGCTGACCGCAGCTTTGAAATGTTGACCAACGAGCTCCTGTGAAAAGCTTCAACTTGCCGCTGCTCGCGCAGAAGTAGCTTTTTCTGCTGGGCTACAAGTGTCCCCTCCTTCTGGGCCAGGTTGGTTTCATTCTTCAACTGCTGCTTGAAGAGATCCGCCTGTTTCTGCGCAAGATGCATCTGCCTTGTGAGGGACGAGCGATTCTGCTTCGCTGCGTTCGCACTATCACGTGCTTCCCGCAAGTGCTTCCGCAGATCACTTTCTTCTGCCGCAGCTTCAATATTTTGCTGCTGCAGATTGCTGAGTTCAGCTCTCAGGCGTGCCACCTTCTCCCCGCCCACAGCGGCATTCGCAGAAGTTGTGTTGGTTCCATTGCCAGCAGTTGCCTTGCTCGCATTTATGTCGACAGGGCGCTCCCCTGCGTGCGTGTCGTTTCTCTCCATGAGGCTCGAACTGGTCCTGTGCATGGGAACTAGACATGCAGAGGGAAACGTAACAAGCTGCAGCACGTTTCCGAGGTTTCAGCTGAGTGCAGCCGAGGCACTGAAGCGGAACTTCAGCCGACGCCCAAGCATCAGAGGTCAGTCCGGGCTCAAAAGCTGCGAGGCTCCTTGGAGCAGACCTTGGCGAGCTTCACTTTGCTTTTGCAAAACCCGTCCGCAGACGTCCATGGCGAAAAGGCAACTTTCAAAGGGCAAGGCGAAGCTGCGCCGAGCACGGCTTCCGGGCCATGCACCTGAGCAGGTGCGAGGAAGGCCAGTGCTCGGTGTGGGGGCTTCACAGGTCAAGCGGGTCAAGCGCTTCGGGTGCTTCTCAAAGCCTGCGCATCTTGTAAGGGTCCTACTCTTCGGCTCTTCCTACGACGGCTATGTGCTTAATTTGCGCAACGGCCTCAGCCTGTGCTGCGACTGGCCCGGGACAAAGAAGCAGTATCTGCACCACAAGGCCCAAAGAACAATGCTTCATGGCTCTACCTGCATGGCTCTCTAAAGCGCCTGGAGGAGCCGCATCCCAGCCACACCTTCAAGGCACATGCCCAGCTCTGGCAAGGCTCCCAGCCATGGTCATCGAGGGCATCGCTCCCAAGGGTGACTCAAGCTGTGGTGTAGTATGGTTTAGTTGGTTGTTGGAGTTCTTGCAGCTTCTGCGGATCTGGTAGGCAAGTGTTCGGGGTCCCTGGTGTTCTCGCGCATGGGATCTACAAAGCCCCGTTGGGCAAAGCCTCTAAAGCTGAAGGAGAATATGCTTGGCCATGAAGATTCTCTGCACCACCGCACCGTGCCGAGCGTCCTTTTTTGCAATGAAAACGATCTGTCTATGCACAATCACTGCCTGACGCCTAACGTGCATTCCACGCCCTTTGGCTGTGGGTTGGCTTGGATGTCCGAAGGACCTGTGTTGGTGATGTGCCAAGAGACACGAGCTACAGCAACACGCTGTACTTAAAAGTTGGTATCAGCTCAAATCAAAGCCACTCTCAGAACGAATGGCTTGGAATAACTTGTCTCTCAGCATTTGCTGGCTGCTGTATGCCTCAACATGCAGGTGATCAGCCTGAAGCCCTGATGCAGTGAAGCTCATGAATCGTTTGCATCTTCTAAATTCGAAGCCTTATCAAGATTTCCATGTCCACAACTTCTACTGGGGCTCTAGACTCTAGAACTCTAGAACTCTCGCCTTAATCAGCTTGCCGTTCAAGGCACAGGCAGCTTGAGGAGGTTTGCACAGGTGGATGCCTCTGCACGGAACGGCGTTGGTGCAGAACAGCGTTGCTGTTGCTTGCCATCGACAGTTCTCTTAAATCAGCTCTCGTCTACAACAACCTCAACAGCCAACATAACCACGTTTGGAGTGACACGTGCAGTTGAGGCACGGTTGGCAAGCGGGACCTAGGTAACAAGGTTGGAAGCGAGTAGCACACAGCTCCGTCCAATGATTCAGTTGTTCGACCTAACCTGAAATGCGCTGGTGTACGAGGTGTGGAGGTTTAGCTTTGCGCCTCGCGCATCCTCTTGGCTGGGCGCCCGGGCGGGTCATCGACCTTGTGTATGCAGAACTTCGGCTCGAAGCTCTTGAAACCTGTGCGTGGGCGCATGGTGACCCAAGAGTCTCTTCATTGACTTCTTTGGTGCTGACCATCGCTGCCCAATCTTCTACAAATTCCTTGGGTCCTAGGCTGGAAAACCTATCTTCTGTTGGGGAACCCAGAAGGGGCGGCCGGCTGCAAGAAGTGGCAAACATCAGGAAGTGCCCGAGATCCTCCCACTCCGAATCCACCACACGCACGCTTCATCAAGGGAGGATATGACAGAAAGGCGTGTGCATTCTCGGTGCGGTCCTCTGCGTCTGCCGTCTCCAGCAGATCCCACAACCATCGAATCACTGGACTTTGCTCCTTGAAGGGAACAAACATGCTGGGACATACCACGCGAATATGTTTATGCATGTGCACATGTGGCCCGCAGTGACCCGCAGCATTGACTTCAGCAAGGCCGGTCCGTGTATCCACCGTTGTAGACGGTGTTTTGCTTGAGATCTGCCACGTCGAAGCCAGCAGAAGAGCCAGAGATGATGGTCCCGAGCTCGCGCGCATCGAACATGCGAATCCAGTTTAAAGGCAGCGCGCACCTACAAGCACGAGCAAGGAATGATTGTGCCTCTGTGGCCAGAAAGCGCGACAGGTGTGCATCTTCTCGGCCTTAAACCATCCAAGAAGAGGGCGGTCTGGGGAACCATCTGTGCTGAGGCCTTATGATCCATTAGCAGGCAGATGTACGAGTCCACGTTGTCCTCTCCAGGGTTCTAATCTGTGGCTTTCCTGTCTCAGAATTTCTGACTGGTCAAGACCTGCCTTCTTCACGGGCTTGAACCTTCCATTTTCGCACAGGTCAGCCTGCGCTCCATGATCTTGTCAACATTTGTCAACATGCCCGTTTGCTAGTCGAGATATCTTTCAATCTGCGATGCGACTGCGGCATTCTGAACTGGCTCATTTGGGCTGTTCTGTGTGCTGCCCCCCTACTCAAAAATCCAGCGCCTGATGTCCAACAAGCCTACAAGCACAACCCTCTCAGCATGCGTGCGCAACCCTTACCCATCCTGGAAAGCTAAGCTGGCATGTCCAAATGCTCTAAGCACCGTAATGGTACCTCCTGGGCGGGGCCCCAAGGCATTGGAATAGCCGTGCTAAACGTCAGGCCGAGCTCCTTCACAGTGTGACTGGTGACTAGCACGATTATTGCACACTGCACTCTTCGTCGTGCATGTTTGCCTTCGCACGTGCAGAAAAACACAGGTACGGACAGGGAGAGAAGTCACACAGCAAGCACGCAGCCGTCATCCCACTTCTCGTCAGAGGATAGCAAACAGGTGTTGGCAATGGATGGCGACATTGAGGCAACTAGTCTAAGGCTCTAGACTCTAGAAAGAAATACATGGCAAGAGCGCAGGCCACTACAGGAAATCCATGCTTGTACGTGATAGTCAAGCCTTCTTGGACTTCTTTTTGCTGAGCATCCACAATAATCGACAATCGATTGCTTGTGGGACTGTGGACCTTCACGGAGCCTCTGTCTCTGAAGCAAGGCTTTGCAACTTGCAGGAAAATGTCCTCGATGTTGTCAGTTTTGCCTCAGGTGCTTTTGAACTAAACAATCACAAGAATTTCTCCTCGCCTTCAATCATGTTAAAACCGAGTTCAAGCAGCCAGCTTGCGGGTATTTTTCGAGTCCACCCAAGAAAAGGTCAGGATCCAAATGATAGGGCCTGATAGGGACACCCGAAAAAAGGGCCCATCGTTTCAGAATATGGAACTTCGAAGTAATCCCTTTTCAACCCCTACATAGCCTCCGCAGAATCCCCAGGGCATACCCATGCTTCTCAGAATCCCAAAATGGTAGTTTCCCTCCAGAATAGACCCACAAACACTATAGTCCTTATTCTGGGGACCGCTAAAACAGATTTTGAGAAACTCCCACAGATCCACAGCAGCAAGGTGCGGAGTTGAGCAATGGAATTGGCAGCCTGACGGTCCAGACTGGCAAGATCCTCCATGACAGCATTTCTGGGAGATCTAAACTCCTTAAAGCAGGTTGCAGTGTTGCCTGTTGCCTATAGGGGACTACTGTAGGGGTTATTACGGGGGATACATGCTGGAGAAACTCTTTTGGGTTCATGTGTGGTTTGCAGGGCTCATGAGCATTTCTCAGATTGCCGCGTTCCCTCTCGGGAGATTCAGAACAACAGATCTGTTTGCGTTTAGTAAGGCACCAGATCCCACTTTCACCTTTCAGGCTTCTGAAGGATCAGTCTCATCAGCTGACAGCTCTCCTCTGCATCTCCAAACCTCTCCAGCATTCTGTTGAGGAAGGCACGGTTGAACTGGTGTTCCAGCAGCATTTGCTCGTAGATGGCTTTCCCAATGACCTGCCCCGGAGGGAGATCATGTTGGTAGAATTTGGGACAACAATTACAATGAGGCCATCCCACCTTTTTAGCAAACATGTGGAGCACCCCACTCTTTTGGATGTCGACAAAAATTCCGACAAACTCGCCAAAAGTGCCAGCAGGAGAGGGCTTTCATGGGGTCAGGCGCAACCTGTGTTTCAAGAGCTTGAAGCCTGTGCGCGCCTTGCCCAGAAAACGGTAAAGTTGCGGTGCGTTCTTGTGCAGAACTGCGGAATTGGTGAAGGGGTAGACTGTCTGATCACTGCACGCCGCGAAGAGACCATATTCTGGACTCAAGGCGGCACGACAAACAAGAATCCTCGGCCAGGCAATCATCTTTTCAACTCACCGGATGTGCGACAACACTACACAAAAAAAGGCAAACGACAATTTGCAGACATTTGCAGGACAAGCCATCCAACCTGTCTTGTGATTTTACAGAATCAAGGCCATGAAGAGCCAAGCTGCATGAACTCCTTAAACAATCCGCCTCCATCAATGCCACTCTCGAGGCTGCCATCGGCTGCAACGAACCTCACGATTGACGCGGGTCATGGGGCACTTGTAGCTACAAATCAACCCACTCAGCCAGTCAAGAACAGCATGAAACAATCTACCTTAAGGCATAGTTCATAATTGAGCACCCACACTGGTGGCAGTTGAGTGGGGATGAGCCCGGCGGCTCCACCACGAAGACGGAGCGAAGCTCTGCCTCCGTGTTCAGGCGCTCGAAGGCCGCGTAGCCATCTTCCATTATGTAGTCCCGGCCTCAGAACTCAGTATCCGCCACGAAAACCATAGCTACCCTTCCCTTCCTGACAGGCTGCGAATTCGATGCCGTGGCAGGCTTGCACGCGCCCAATCGGCGCGAGTTTCTTCACGCTCCATCTGCAGAACGGACACAACAAAGCCGTGAACCCTTTGCAAACAATTGTCCGCTTGATGGCCACAAATCTCTCCTTGTCGGTCAGGAGCCAGGCTTGCATCAGGGCCACTCCTCAGCCAACAGTTCGTTGCAGGTGGAACTGGCTTCAAAGTATCTCAGCATCTATGTTGACCTGACTTGCGCACTTGTACAGGGCTGTGAGAAACGAAGGCCTAGCATGTGGAGCTTGATCCCTGGATGACTGGTTGCCATCACGGCACGGTCTTCGAATGGCACCATGTACGGAGCCTGCGGAATCAACAGCATGTCCCAATCTGCGGCCCAAACCCCATTTAACCCAATCCATGATTGCTGCCATGCCAGTCAGCAATGTTAGTCAAGAATGCGTAATTTCAGGATGAAAGCACAAGAATCTCACCCCTCATCCTCCAATCTTTCGTGGCTACCTTCTCAGCCGCCCCAACTTTCAAATGCATCCTTTTCATCATCTGCTGTGTCATACGTTCTTCTTGCTGTGGGGCACCCTAAGATCATGACTGGTATCTTCTTTCTTCCTTGTTCAGTTATTACATCGCTACAGCGGGATGCCGACAAAGTTGTCCCAGCTGCCGAATAGGTCCCTAGCCGAGAAGGTCAAAGTACCGTGCAATAGCCAGCAGGCCGGTCAAAGCACAGACTTCCCAAGCCGCCACAGCTGCCCTGGCATAGGCAACATCTGGTTCGCCCATACTTGCATACCATCGTAGCACTGAGTAGCTGGGGAAGTTTCGCCCGTTTGTCCACTCGGGTGACTCCAGGCTCCAGTTTTCTTGGGTGTTTCTCAAGACCCACTTTGATGAAATCAGGCAGGGCTTTTCTGAACTCAAGTGGTGTGAAGCGCGTATCCCTGTTTGGAGAAATCAACCAATTGCATGTTGTGTTTGCGTGGATTAGCTCCTTTAACAATGGCAGGGTCCCGCTTTTGGTCAACCAGGCGAAGGTGATCCGCGATCAAAACCTCCCACTCGAGCCAAAGGTCAATGCGTTCGTCCTTCGTGTCCATGCTGATGCGTGCTACTACGATCAAGGATGAGAGGAGGCTACTGCCAATCCGGGCTGTGCTTTCCGCGCGTGGGCTTGGAGGCTTTCGGTCGTATTCATGACACTTGCTGCTTGGAGCTTGCTCAGGGACTGGGTGGCAAGCGTTCATGCATGCAGGGCCTGGTCAGGGGCTTTGGAGGCAAGCGGCCTGAAACACAGGGGTGAGAGGTGGTTTCGTACTGATTGGATCGAATGCGCAAAGGACGGGACATGGTCTGCGTAATGCTGCGCACTGTGCCAAGCAGGCTAAATGATCCCCATTTGGACTGGCAAGGGGATATCGCAGTTTGGGCATCCGGCGCCCAGTTACACCGGACGACAACTCCTCCGACATGTTCAAGGAAGTGCCAAGGCTCATTACTCTGCCGCCAAGTTGCTGACATTCTGAGAACACCCTATCCAACTATAGCATACTCCCTGATTGCTCAGCAGACCGTTTTGTCACGTGGTTACTCGCAATGCTCTCCCCGGTTGTGGAGAGACTGATTTAAGCTTCCTGGCGACATGGGCAGAGCCGTTTGCAGATCTGGTCCCCCTTCAGTCACGCCTTTCAATGTGTGCAGCTCCTTGCAAACGGTGCAGCAATCACCTAGTCCCAAACGTTGTCTGTCACGCAGCCCACCTCGGTTCTGCGGGTCCCAGCAATAAATGACAACCGCCTGTGAATTTGCGCGTATGAATTCGCGCGTAAAAACGCGAGGGCCTTACGCTTCGCAGGTCCTGCGGGGCCCACGCGAGGATCCTACGCGTCCCACGTGGGTCCTACCGCGGGCCCTAGGACCAAGAAAAATGCAGGATTCCTATATCCACATCTGAATTAGTTGAACCTTCCGCCCCAGCGTCGGCTCACCCTGACCTAAGCCCAAGCCCTGCATCTCTCTCGTGTGTGGTTAAACTCCACATTGATTTAGACTTGCCCTTTAGGATGTTGGCCATCTACTTTTCTGCGCTGAGATCTCACCTCACGTGACCAAATGTTCAGGGCATGTGAGCAGATGTCGCCTCTGCTAAGGCTACCTCCAGCAATTTTGCTGAAGCTGTCTCCACTTTCGCGGGTGCTTCGCATGGCGCGTCTGCGCTTTCATTCCTCAGGGACAGGGAGTATCAGGACTATATCCATCCGGCCCCGGTGCTCTGATGTATGCCGTCTAGGAACACACCCAAGGAGGCTACCACTTTGGCAGAGATTTCTTGGAAGTTCTTGTCCTTCACACGACCATCAGGTACACAGTACACACGTGCGCAGGGCCCTTTGGGGGTAGCAAAGACTGTGCAGGTTTGAGGGGAGTGACAACCCTGGCCGCAACCTTTCCTGCAATGCGGAACGCAGCTGCGGCACCAACCACCTTGCCACTGCAACACGCGTGTTTCTTCTAAAGGCTTACGATGGCTTACGTTATGAAATGGGTCTGCACAAAAGGTGCGACTGCAAGGCCAGAGGTGACTAAGCGGAAAAACCGAAACATGTTCGCACTCACATCATGAGTTCAAGTCACCACGGCTTCACGTTCAGCCGCCGCATGCGGGTGACCACCATCGCCAGCATGTCTTTGAGGCGAATGCGGAGAAACTGGCCAGGACTCAACCCTCAGAAGCTGTTTTCAACACATGCGCATCCATTGCACATCCCAGGCGAGACTTTCAAGGGGACAGCTCGGTAACTCTGTGGATTCCCCGTTCTCGTGCCTTGCCCTGGTCTGAGAGAGGGCCCGGGTCAGGGCTGTCACGGAACATCGCCAGGAGAATCTGGTTCAAGTGTGGCCTCGGCTTTATAGCTGAGCTTAGCTGAGCTTAGCTGAGCTTAGCTGAGCTTAGCTGAGCCTTGCTGGGCATCAAGTTGAGACAGAAAGGGCCACGCCACAGACGATCATGGTCAAGCGTTGACCACCAGCCTGGAGCTACCGGACAGAAGAAATTCAGCAGGCCCAAAGGCTTCTTGTGCCATGGCCTTTGGGATCGTCCAACTCTGCATCGAAGAGGCAGCGCAGCCTCTCCTTTGCAAGGATGGACCAGGAGAGAAGCCTTTCAGATGTGAGGCATGTCTTTCAAGCATGTAGGCACGAAGAGCCGCAGAAAGTGCCTGATGGCTGCATCACTGCGATAAGCGGGCACATCCAGCTGCGACCAGCCGATAGCCAATGGATTGATCTGCTCCTCAGCAAGTGACAATATGGCTCCAGATTTCCTGCTCGACGACCCCAACAAACTCTATCGAACACGATTGTGCCCCCGCCCTCCAAGCAAGGGACAATCACATCAGTTCGAAATGCAAACGCCTGACAAATCAGCACAAAGAGCCCTGGCTCGACAACTCAGACATGTTTCGCGTCACTGTGCCACACTGCAACAGCACAGGCCCTTTTCGCTTTAAATTGGTCACCGCAAAAAAGTTGGGTTAGGCACGAGCCTGTCTACGTGAAGCATGTGTGCCGCACATCAGTCAATGACCTCCTCCTCCTCTTCCTCCTTCTGCTCCCCTTGTTTGGGTTCTTCTGCTTCATCTTCCTTTTGCTTCTCGAACGCGGCCCGCCGCATCTGCACCAGGGATTTTCGGCCAGGCTTGTCCGTCGATCCTGTGGCCTCTGGCGCCTTGGCGGCAGCGTAGCCACCTGAGCCACCCGCTGGTACAGGGGCTGTGCTTGGCGCTGGTGCTGAGGTCACTGGAACGGATGATGGTGCCGATGCTGAGGCTGGAGTTGGAGCTGTGGGAGCCGTGGGAGCTGCGCTGGCTGCGCTGGCGGTGCTCGTGGAAGGGTCTGAAGGGCTTGAGGCTGCAGGGACGCTCGCAGGGGCGGGCTCTGTACTGGGCTTGTCGCTGGCCCAGAAGTCCTCAAGCAAAGGGGCGGCTACTCCTTTGGCCCCACTCACCACGGTTGTAGCCGTGGTGCCAACAAGATCAACGGCATCAAGGGCTGCATCTTTGAAAGTAGCTACAGCCCCCTTCTCGCGGAAATCCTGCACTGTGCTGTGAATCTCGCTCTTCACTCCATCAACCAGTTGCATAACACTTCCGCGTTGCTGGGGAGCCGCTTGGTCACCGGTTTGTTCGGGTTTTGGGTCCACATCTATTAAAGAGATGGCCCCATCCACTGCCTTTCCGGCAGTGCTGCCTACTAGATTCACTGCCTTGCCAGCAGTACTTCCAACCATGTCGACCGCGTCAAACGCAGCATCTTTGAGTGCGCCTACAGCGCCCTTCTGCTTGAAGTCTTGAACTGTCTCTCTGAATTCTTGTCTGATGCTGGCCAGCAGCCCTGGATCTGTTCCATCGCCAGCAGCTGCTTCGGTGGCATCCGGGGCCACATCAGTTGTTGGAAGCACCGGAACCAGCACGGCTTCTTCCATTCCATCCACCTGCACCTGCGCACGAGGGGGCGAGGAGACACCATCCACTTGCAGCACGATAGCCTTCATTATGCGACCATCGCTGAATTGCAAAGGTACTTCAGCTCCGCGGGGCGGAACTCCATCATAGCGCAGCACGGCAGTTGCATTGCCATCGCCGTCCACAAGAGATTTCACATTGCCCAGGACCCAGGAGCCTGCGTCGGTCGCCATGTCACGAGCATCCAAGGCTGCATCTCGCAGGGCACCAATTGCACCCTTTTGGCGAAACTCATCCACGGTCCCCATGACTTCAGACCGCAACGCATTCCAAAGGCCAGCCATGACACAACACTAGCAGCTTTGGCTATAAGGCGGGACGCAAGGGCCTGTACCGCAAGCTTTGCTTGCTTCAACGAAGAACTAGCCGGGCCTATGATACAAAAAAAGCTTCGAAGCTAACTTGACCCAGCTTTGTCGGCGTTGTCTGTCACCATGATTGTTGCTGCAACAGATCTGCAGTCATGCCTGCTCAGCACACAATCGTAGCTCAGGCCTGCATTGTTTCTGGGTATGGCATCGTTGGCTCCTGAAAGCCAGCCCCTCAGTCTCTCTCTAAATGTTCATTGTTGCTTGCAGTGTGCAGTTGCCTGTCCTCGTAATAGAAGGACAACATGCGATCCAGCAGCCTCCAGCTTTAGCAAATCCAGACCAAGCATCAGCGTTTATGCGAGGTCTGGGCACCCCACTTCGTTCCCTTGACCTTTATGTACAAAAACTCAACCAGCTGTGCGCGCCACAGACTATGGCGCCACTTCGCCTGCGCATACGAGTAGGTTCAATGGGTCCAGTAGGCTCGTGCAGCAAGAATGCTATGCCATGTTTGACGCTCAAAAATCATGCGCCACCTGTTGCAAATTGCAAAACACTATTAGCTGCCATGGTGGACCAATCCTCGCTGCGTGACTCTTGCATGGCCGATCTGCGATATCAGTTACCGACCTACGAAGCGGAGCCTGGCTTTACTGCTGGCAGGAGAGTATACAGTGACAGGTCCCAATATATACCCGATTACATCCATTATCCCTGCCTAACCCCAATAGACCTGTAGAATGGGACTCAGGGACATCATCCAGCCTGGCGTGGGCCACCAGGCTGCTTCCAGAAGATGGCTGGCAACTTGGCCTGCACAGGTAAAACTCAGGAAGTCTCTGTTTGAAACGACCACGCTGGAAGCGGTCTTTCAAAAAAATGATCATTAGATGTTGTGCGCATATATTTGTAATGGAATCACATTTGTGGGCACAGTACCAAGTAAGGAGGCTCAATTAGAAACGAAAGTGGAAAATGAAAAGGAAACGGGACGTATAATCAACACAGGGGCCTAATAGGGGCTGATAAGGCCATACTGTGAAACTCAGTGCGACTTTTACGCAGCGACTGTTGGCCCCAAGTCCTGCCTTTAGCCAGAGAAGCCAGCCAACGATGTTCTCTGGCCTCAGGAAGATCAAAGGGATGCGTGACGCGCCTCCGCAAGACTACACACGAGGTATGCGCGGCTCGCCCATGTGGAGGAGGGCGGGGAACACGCTCCCCGCCACGCCGGCCTTAAACTTCACCGGATCGATACCCCTCGCTTAACGTAAATGCAGCAATACGGTTTGGAAACTTGCTGCTTCTCAGGCTTGGGGTCACAATTTCATGCAGCAGCAAATTCTTTGCGCATTGCGTGGGCTCGTGACGGCTCGTGAACATATGTTTGGAAGAACTGAACTTAGGGCTCCTTCTAGGGACTTGCCTCAACAGCTCACCTGTCATCGGACTATTGCAGTCAGAGTTCTGCAGCCGACGAGATTTTGTCGCGGCTTGCTTACAATGCCACTTAGCCGAGGAAACTCCAGCAGTTGCGAGAGTACTTTGCTTCTTCAGTGCAACGCAAGGGCATGCATTGGACCTTTGAGTTCAGCATGAGAGGCTTGTCCCCGAACTAACATACCCTTGCCCGGGAAGGCGGCATGAAAAGTGTTCCTATTTTGGAAATGATTATGGAATTTATTCCCACATTCCTGTGGGGTTCTAGTTGTTTTGATGCACTGCCGCCCGCCATGCCCTGGGTACTCTTCTGTCGCGCAAACATTTGGCACGCGCCCTTGTTCGCTTCAAAATCGCGCTCTCGCTCGAGACATCCTCAAAAAATCGGCGTTTTATGTTGATTCTCGATCAAAAAATAGGAGACTTCGCCCTTGAAGTAATTTTGCTAAAGGGTCGTAACGGAACTGGCCGCGCCCCGGTTTGAGGCAAAATTGCCCTGCCATGCGGGACATCCTCAAAATGTCGGGTTTTGCTTGCCTAAGAATTACTCAAAAACTGCGCTCCAGCGCGAGACAATTCGATGTCTTGCTTTTTGGATCATCTTCATATCTTCGAAAATTGCGCTCCCGTGCGGAGCATCCTCGACATTTCGTCGATGTACCTTCATCGAATTCGATCAAAATGACGTTCCCGTGCGGAGCATTCGGAAAAAATCATTTGTGAACGATGATGTCGAGGAGTTCTATACCAATTCTATATCAAACCACATCATATCAGTCCAGGTGTACTTCGTTCGAGGTGGCTTTCAGGGCTCAAGAGGGCGGTATTTGGCGGAGGTTTCCGGTGTAGGGTTATGAGGAGAGCTAAGGCTCTCAGGTGAGCGAAACTGCTCATCGGTAGCCATGGCAGGAAGGCATGCAAGCGGTCACTCCTTTTCAGAAAGCAGATGCGATGTACGAAGTTAGTTGCTTAGCTAAGTGATGCCTATATTGACGCACCACGAAGCCCATGCAGGGCCATCTAGAGCCATTGAGGCTTCGGCACTCCGCACTCAGCACTCAGCAGGATTCTGCACTCCTCCTTGGTCCGCTTCTTCGAACACGGACCACACATTCGTGGTGACGAAGGCTTTATGGCCCAAAGGTTCTCTCTGCTGCACACATTACACCACTGAAGGGTGGATTTGGTTTGAAGCCTCTTATGGCGCCAAAGCCACAAAACAAACCTTAGCTGTTTCTCGGTAGGCAGAGTTCTGCTTGCGACTTCAAATCTGGGGTCTGGGACAAGCCTCCAGCACAGCCGAGCCACCAGCTCTGGTTTATGTCCGGAAACAGTAAGATTCTCGCGGCGCAAACCCTCTCTCAATGCATCGCAATGCATCAAGGAGACAACATCACGACAAAGGCCACTTCTGTCCAAGTGCTGCGTGACATCATCATTCACAGAAGGAGTACTGCTTTGGGCCCCAGGGACCTGGTCAAGAAGGACTCTTCCAGGGTCTGTTCAGGTCTTGCGCGTAACGGAGTCACAGGAGCTCGCTGGCGAACTTCGCTCGCTTCACGCAGTGGCGTTCCAGGAGGCTGCTGAGAGGGTGCTCTCTCTCAGGCTGAGGTGTCACAGGATACTGCATAGGAGCTGCACTTCTCCGATGCTGCGGTGCTTCCTCCAACGAACAACGAAAAGCTGTCTGCACGGCTTGGTGAATATCTGAGGATGAAGGAACCTGCTGCTCTTGCTGAAGCCTATCAATCTCCAGTTCTGCAGTTAAACGTGCCAACTCCCTCAGCCTCTTCAACTTGATTTCCTTTCGCACAGAACGCCTAACACAGCCAACCAGCCATTTAGCCAACTCCCAGACCAGAATAGCCACAACAGCTACCAAACCTGAAACCAGAAGAAGCTCGTCCATGCCAGCTGAAGCCAACGGTTCCTTTGGCTCCTCCGTGTCAGAGGCTTGTGCACCTGGAACCCTTTCCAAAGCCACCATGATACAGTGAAGAGTGATTGCCCTGGCAAGCTGAGCGCACACCGCTTCTTGGGTTAACCCTTCGAAGCTCAATTGTCGAAGGAGATCCAGGAGCCTTGTACGGGGATGCATCTTGGTAGCCAGGTCCGCCAGCTGCCAGCGTCCTTCTGTGAGCTGAACTTCTATCAGACCCGAGGCCACCTGTTCACGAAGATATCCACTACGTACCTTCAGATGTCTCGTCCTCCAGCTACCGGCACCGCCAAGAAGCATGCTCGTTGCCGATGAGTTGTCGACTCTAAGCACACGACCCACCCGATATCCAAGGATTTCATCCAGTAAACAACCGATACTGTCCAGAAGAACTGAGGCAGTAGTTGCTTCCATTAGCTCGCTTTCCATTGTGGCAAGTGTAATCATGCCCTGTTTACCAGACTTCCAAGTAACGCGACTACCGTTTACCGTGACAACATAAGCACCGTACGACCTATCACCGTTGGGGGCGAAACTAGAGTCGCTGTAGCCTATCAACACAACCTCGGAAGAAACCCTGCTGGCTGCTGCTGTATTGTTGCTGGATGCCGATGCTGTGCTGTTGCTGGATGCGAGTGCCGTGTAAACATCTTGACCACCAAGAACGAGCTTCAACTCCACAGTCGACACCAAGTAGGCAAGAACTCTCTTGGCTATACGCGCTACCCTCCTTGGATGCTTAGAGACCCACTGTGCCATGTGGCATACCACAAATTGAAGATCTGGACGACATCGCATGGTAAGCCAAAGCTGCTCTCCAACCATCCGCTGGCCAAAGCGCAGTTCAGCTTCTGAGAAATCTTCAGGTTCAGGAGAAATATCGTCAGAAATCCGTTCTTCAGGACACGGCAACAGAGTTCCAGGGGAATCATGCATTCCATGAGAGCGCAGCAGGTCAAGGATGTACCCCTGTTGATGGATTTCGTAAGCTCCAGAGGGTCGCTGAAACACGTCCATGCCAAGGTAGCGCGTTCCACTACCATCTGAGGCCCATTTGAGAGCATTACACGGCCACTCTTCCAAAATCCATGCATGGACTGCCTTGACAACACTGCCCTCGGCTACATAGAACAGGTCGTCTACATAGGTTATGACGCACCAAGCCCTCATCATCCTCGAAGAAGATGAGCCACAACTTGGGGTCGACCTTTGACATCTTCAAAACCAGGTACTTGTCCTTGTAGGGGATGCGAGCCTGGGACAACCGAGCCGAACGGTATGCTGACCATATGGCAGGCGACTCCCGAAGGCCGTACAACGGCCTCAAGACAAGCCAATAGGCGTCTTCAGAGACGTAGTTGTTGTCGATGAGAAGTCGTGGTGGAACTACGGCGTAGCGGTGAAGGTGCTCTGGCCAAGACGCAGGAAGGAATGCCCCAGTGATATCAGCCGTTGCGCCCAGCCAGCCTCTTTTGGCTGTTGTCGCCAGCACTGTCCTGAACGTTTCTGCCGACGCACCTCCAGCATACAGAGAGCCGAACTGCTCTTCAGGAGCAGCAAAATTGCCGCACAGCACCAAACGATATTTTTGTTT